ATGTAAAATTGCAGAAAATACACAAACGAAACAAAGAAATTGTTTTCGCTTAAAAGGACATTCAAATGGAAATGTTGTGCTTCACTACTCAAGCAAGCAACATTTATTTTGTTACAAACCCAAAAACCATGAAGACACACAATATACCGAGATGAGTGAAGTGGATGGATGCACCTACACATTTTCATAACCATAAAAGTTGCAACAATACAAGTGTATCTATCGCCTCCACTTCACTCCTTGAAGTTCGCAAGATACAAATATACAATACTTTTAGTATCGATAGAAATTGGCTTCTTTACTTTTTTGCTGCAGATTGATATTAAATTATATTCCTTATTATCATTTGATGTAAGTAAAGCAATGCCATGCTATGCACATGTGTATCCATCTAAACAACCACAAGTTTATTCAACAATACTTACAACAACAACAACAACAACAACAAGCATGCAACAATGCTGTAAAATATAATGCAAACAATGCACTTTCCGAATCTTGTCCTTAAGTCACTTTGGCCATAATACATGCACACATTTAAGGATATGAGTATAAGGATACCTTCTGGCATGTTGCAGGAACAAATGCGTTTTTCCTTACGTCCTTTAAGAGAGAAGTGTGGAGTGCTGTGAAGAAGTCGTAATATGTTTGATGGCTTTTCTGCATGCATTCATGCACATGCATGAATTTAAATGTTTATATCCGCACAATTGTGCTTATGAAAATTTATGCACTTGCATGTCTTGCAATATAAATTTCCCATAAAAATATTTACTGTCTTAGAGGACATCAGTGGTGCAAGTTGCAAAAAGTTATAAAATTTTGAGTTCTGGCATATGTAAGTTTCAAATAATGATCAACGGTAGTCATATAAATAAATTATAATTCAAATTTTATTAACTACTTTTATTTAATTATATTTGAGATTATTAAATTTTATTAGGAATTTTATGATCAAAAACCTATTTATAATGGAAATTTCATAACAACATCATACTAGCAATATTTAATTGATGTATTTTAATTACAAATTATATTTTATACACATTACAAATTATATTACTAACAAATGTGCAATAAATTTACCTATTCATATACTTAACTACATCCTTGTAGAAGGAGATCAGTTTATACAACTGCTGCCATTAGGATAAATTGGAGAAGGTGAATGAATAATCCCAAAAACGAAGTAAAACCAATTGGTTGGTGTCAGTACATTTATAAATTAATATACATACATACATATATGTAATATTTAGTGAATATTTATTTCTAAAATACAGTCAAACTTTCATAACTAGAATTTCTATAACTCGAATTTTCTATAACTCGAACCAAAAACAGTGCACCAAAATTTTAGAGAGCAAACTACATACAAGTCTGCTTCCATAACTCGAACTTCTATAAAGTGAATTCTATAAGTAGAATTTTTATTTTAAGTATAAATGTATTTTGCTGTTAGGGGAAGTCCCTTTTTCCAAACTAAATGTTTAAGTTTTTCTTTTTTACGGTGCTTCTTTGTGCAAATGCCAGTCGCTGGCAGTGTGGTGCTTCTTCCAATGCTACTCTTAATGATTATATTGAGCTTGACAATGAAATTTGTACATCAAGCTCTCTTACAGATGACGATATTATTAAGCACTATAGCTCTAAATTACTGGATCCAAATCTAAGCGAAACGGAAAGTGATGATAAGAGTTCGGTGGATGTAATTGTTCATCAGCCTTCCAAAAATAAAATAGAAAACTTTTTCAAAATTCAGAATATATATTTGCATGGAATGATATTACAACAGATGATCACTATAAGGCTTGAAATAAAGTGAAATCTCTTTTTACTGAAAATAAGAAAAAAAATTGAAGTCCCAAACCTTAATTTCTGAATATTTTACTTCACTATAACTTCTGTGGTATATTTAATTTTAAATAAATAAATATCTTAAAATATAATTCTAGTTTCTTTCAAAAAAAAAAAATTCAAAAATTCTCTAACTCGAAGTCTCCATAAGTCGGACCTTTTCTTTGCAAAATTGGACTTCGAGTTATGGAAGGTTGACTATATAACAATTCATAAAAAAACTTTATAAAATTTTACAATTTAGTATTTAGTCAATTTAATACATTACATTGGTATAGTAAAAGTTTAATAAATTTTAATCAAGTTTTTATTAAGATAATAAATTAAGAAAATTAATTAAGATAAATTTTAGTTACTCTGACTGTTAATAAAATTGCATACAGATTCCACAAAAATTTGTAAACTTCGTGGTCTGCCATTTTTGCTATCTATCTGTCTGATATTGCAAATAAACTTAAGACACAAATAAATAATATCAACATTAATTTCTTTTACTTAGAAATCGACGCTTTTCAGCAATGGCGTAGCCAAAATTATGCTCATAAGGGCTGGAGGTACTTTTACTAGAATAAAATTTTTTGGGTATGTTTGTCAGGTAATTATCCATAGATTATATTGTAAAGAGTTTGGGAAAATATTTTTGACTGTATTGCAGTGGACTATCTGCTATGTAGATTATGGTGTAAATGGGGTTGCCTATCAACTTAGCTTTGCTTACTACTAACTCATTAGAATCCCAATACTCACATTAATAATATTGACTAAAATTTCCCGCACTTGAAAAAAAAATATAACTTGAATTTTACGGTAAAATCCGTTAGCATTCGCGCTCTGTCGCATCTACAAATATTGTGCAGTTTGCACTTAAACTTCGTACTGTGTAGACGGCTACTAACCAGCTCTAAAATTTTTGTATAACATATATTGTTTTCGAAAAGTTTTTAACATGGATCAAAACAATACTATAGCTCTCTGATTGCCCAACATTGAAATGTTTAATTTACTGCAGATTGAATTTCACTAGTATTATTGTATTACTCATATGGAACTTACATTAATTTAAAATTTGGCAAAAGCTGTGGCCTGTTAAGGTTGTTAAGGTCATTATAAGTTGACATTAACCGACTGAGGAACAAGAGAGTCAAAAAATCCATAGTCGCACACGATGTTTAAGGTGGAGCACCATCTTGCAGAAATTACAGGTGCTGCATAACGTTTTCAGAAACAATTTACATAAAAAATCGGTTGTAGTACTCGGTAATCCATCTGATATATGTACCTTGATATATGCAGTGATCATTCAAGACTTTATTGTTTTCTTAGAGCGCGCAATCTTTTTAAATTATTTTTTTTTCTTCAAGTACGTTCACTTTTCACAATGGAAAAGTTATTTTTTTAACAAACTTAACATAATAATAAATTTTCTGCCTTCAAATGTCCGTAATATAAATTGGAATTAAAATAATAATGATATACTACTCGTAAGGCGAGTATTAAACATGGTTGATCAAGATTTTCTTGTATTTTTTATTTAAATATTCTGTTACTAAATTATTAATTAACGAATAGAAATGGTTATAGCAACACTTTAGAAAATTTTTAGTATGGTTTTCAAGCGATACTAAATCCTTTTCAAACACTTGGTTGGCAAGAAGAACACTACACGCTAGAAAATTATGTATAATGATATATATATTTTGTTAATACATGATAAGTTACCAACAACAACAAAATTTTTTTGTTTTAATTTAAATATAATATGTATTCCATCTAATAAGGTTGACATTTTACAAGTTTTTGATACATAACAAATACTTCAGACATGATAACTTACAATTTAGGAGAGCTGTGGAGAGCTAATATTTTGTTTTTTAATTAAGATTTATAAATTGAAATTAATTTAAAATATTAAATAATACTCTAAATTAATAAATCTTATTAATAAATCTAATTAAAAATCTAAATAATTAAATTCAAAAAAAAATTATTATAATAACCAACATTTAAGTAATTAAGTTTTGGAAACCATGCTTACTCACAGGATTTCCTTTAACTTAACTTTAATTAATATTTTAAAATAATTATTTAATATTAAGGTATTAAATTCAATTTATAATGTTAAATTTCATTCTTTATTCATAAAAGTATTTTACCGAAAATGAATATAAGTAAAGACGACCTTGAAATTATTCTGCCATAAGTGGAATTGTTTCACAAATTTCGAAGTCAGAATCATATCTACAGGTTTTTCGAAAAAAACAATGCACATTTCCAACAAAAAGAAAAATTCTATTTTGGTCAAGGACTTTGAAATACAAAAACAAAACAATATAAAAAATATGGAAAATGGTTATTTCTCCTTTTCGAAAAATACCGAATAAAATTTTCTCCAATCAGAGAATATTTTTCGTATTCGAAAAAAAGTATTTTGGGGAACTGAAAAAAAGCAGAGCGAGCATATAAATATAAATTTTGAAAGCGGGGTAATATTTCTATATCGAATTTGGAGAGGGTCTTATAAAACCAAAACAGTGAGTAGCAAAGAGCGAGAATTCAACAAATTAAATTACACGTGATGCATTTCGAAACATGCAACAGAACGGACAGCTCAACAATTGGCAGAGAAAAAGTAGCTTCCATTTGTCATACAGATTACAAGTGAAACCAAAAACGGGGATGAGAAAATGTTTCGGAAGTATTCTTGTTACCCACCCCAAAACGATATGTAAGCACGTGAGACGTGAGTATAAAGTTTCTTGTATTGTTTGTACGTGCCGCACTCAATACGGGGTGCCAAGGGTGAGTTCTTATTCGATTATCCTACAACTTCTGTGTTTTTGAATTCCAAAATCATTGCTAGTAATGCACCAGTGAAGAGCGGATCGCCGTCGGTAGTCGTAGGACTTGCTTGTTGCTTGAGTATTTTGTGGTATAAATTCGTGTATTTTCCGTGTAGTGAATTCAGTTTGAAAAGCGTTTGGCTTGAGAGCGGACGTGACAACGGAGTTTGTGGCAGTTGTAATTTTTGTGAACACGTAACGTAAAAGTACAGAGCGTGCATATTTTAAATATTAATTACAAGGAAAATATTTTTAAAAATTTTTAAATCTTCATAAAATAATTAAAAATAAAATTTCAAAAAAATGGCTATACCATTTTTCGAGCCAAAAAATGCATCTGACGAGCAAGCAGTCGATCAAGTTGATGGTCCGATTAACACAACCGCAGTACCGACCACACATAATCCTATACTGGTTGACACTGTAGCAGCGGCGGAAAGTTCTGACGAAAATGTAACTAATAGTCAATCAACGCACACGGATCCTAACGAAAAATTGGCATGGAAGATACTTGCCTTGGGTTTGTGTAAGGCTCTGAAGGAATATTATTTGCAAACTGCTAAGTCGAATAATGCATTTAGTAGTGCTTTGGTGCTGGTTCTACCGAATGGAGAGGTGCAACCTGTTTGGAAGTAAATTATTAAACAACTTTTCCGTTCCATTAAGTATTGCTTTGAAATTTATAATTTTTTATTAGCTCCGATAAGCAATTTTGTGATTAGTTGTTCAATACAACTTAATAAAAAAATTCCTTAGGAAATATATAAAAATAATTTTCTTAGCATTTTAATACTTAAGTCATTTTATAAGCCGTCGGAAAATTTTATTGTGAGGAAACGAAAATTTGCAAGAGAAAATAGTTCGCAATTTTGAGATAAGCGCAATTGTGATAGTGAAATTGTTTTATTTCATAAAAGATACTGTTAAACATACTATATATATGTTCAATTAAGAATTAATTAAAATCTCCAACGAATACTAATGTAGAGTTTTATACAATTTTTTAAATCTTAATTAGCTATAAGTTAAATTTTAATCAGTACTTTTTCATAATACTTCGCAGTTTTTAAAATCTCAATGTCTATTTATATACAATCATAAAACTATAAAAACTATACCAAACAAAATTTTAATATTAACGTATAAGCTTTTTATGAATATAAAAAATTTTTATTTAAGAAAAAAAATATATTTTTCTATTTATTTTGCCAGTAGTAAGTGTACATGTATCCATTAACTTGACAGAAAAAATAAAATTATTTTGAAAATCAACCAAATTTTATTTATAGATGTACAGTGGCTCACAGCTTATTTCGTGCAAGCAATATTTTTGTAGATTTAGTCGTGAAAATCCAAAATTTTGTTCAAAATAAAAAGTTTTAAATATGCAACTTTAAAGAATGTTTAGTTTTTATTATAAAACAAAAAAAAAATTTAGCAAAAATATCAATATTCAAGAAGTTAAGTGAACAAAAACAAACATACACCAAATTCTGACCTCACAGCTTATTTCGTGCAATACATTTTTTTTTAGAAAATTAATAATTTTTGGCATAAAAAAGTGAATTTTAGTATTTAGTGGGATAGTCCTTTTGTTTAATTACTGCCTCCAACCTTGAACGCATTGAAATAACTAATTTTTGAGTATATTCCACTGACATTTTTTGCCATTCCAATTTTAAAGCAGCTTTCATACTTTCCTTGCTATAAATGTTATGTTTTCTTATGTTAGTTTCCAGAATATGCCATAAATTTGCTATGACACTAAAGTCAGGTGATTGTGGAGGTGTTTGGATGATGTGTGGATAATTCCCAACAAGCCAAGTCTGCACAAGACCCGACTTGTGCTTCAGATCGTTATCCTGGTAAAAACAGAAATTGTTAATTATGCCTAAATATTCGGCACTTTTATGCAAATTTTGCTTTAAAATATTAAGATACACTTCTTTATCCATTGTTGATTCTATAAATTGTAGATTACCTACTCCTGCCGCTGATTTACACCCCAATACTATCACATGCCTGCCGACGGTTTCGCATGCAGTTTACCAAACACCACCTGTACAAGAATAGTTCTTTCTGAAACGCAGTATTTTTTGTCAATTAGAGTAAATTTAATCTCTACGCTTCAGATGGTAAATCATATGTGAAATACTATTAAACATACGCCAAATATATCACATACTAAGCTCCAAAAAGAAAATTTATATGGCACAGTTAAACACGGTGGCAAGCATGTGATAGTATTGGGGTGTAAATCAGCGGCAGGAGTAGGTAATCTACAATTTATAGAATCAACAATGGATAAAGAAGTGTATCTTAATATATTAAAGCAAAATTTGCATAAAAGTGCCGAATATTTAGGCATAATTAACAATTTCTGTTTTTACCAGGATAACGATCTGAAGCACAAGACGGGTCTTGTGCAGACTTGGCTTGTTGGGAATTGTCCACACAACATCCAAACACCTCCCCAATCACCTGACTTTAGTGTCATAGCAAATTTATGGCATATTCTGGAAACTAACATAAGAAAACATAACATTTATAGCAAGGAAAGTATGAAAGCTGCTTTAAAATTGGAATGGCAGAAAATATCAGTGGAATATACTCAAAAATTAGTTATTTTAATGCGTTCAAGGTTGGAGGCAGTAATTAAACAAAAGGACTATCCCACTAAATACTAAAATTCACTTTTTTATGCCAAAAATTATTAATTTTCTAAAAAAAAATGTATTGCACGAAATAAGCTGTGAGGTCAGAATTTGGTGTATGTTTGTTTTTGTTCACTTAACTTCTTGAATATTGATATTTTTGCTAAATTTTTTTTTGTTTTATAATAAAAACTAAACATTCTTTAAAGTTGCATATTTAAAATTTTTTATTTTGAACAAAATTTTGGATTTTCACGACTAAATCTACAAAAATATTGCTTGCACGAAATAAGCTGTGAGCCACTGTATATTAAACAATATATGGTAACAGAATGAATAATTATGCTAAATATAAGAACTTTTGTATATGAGCATTAAATAGTACAATCTACAGTAGAAATTTCAACTTTCATAAGACTTTATGTATTACAAGAATATATAATAAACTAACATGAATGTAAAATTTAAATTTGTATTTGATTTTCATGAAATGAAATAAGTTTTTTTAGATGCAATAACAACACTATTTATTTGGATGAAAAGATTCAGATATTGTCTTTATCAATCCAATTGAAGAGGACAAGACACACACCAAACCCTCTTAATAAAACAATCACTACTGATTTGGTATATGAGACAACTACAAGAGGATATAAAAACTTTATTCATTTAATGAAATATTCTATATATAAATAAATAAAAACTACATTTTTCATCCCATAGTACTCTTATCGCAGACTTTTCTCCTAATTTTTTTTTCTTTATTGGTCATCCGTGGTGTGTTTCTTCCGTTTTCAGTACATTATTCTTCCGCAGTAAATCAGAAACTCTGATATTCATAGAGATTTTTCTATGCTTTATATAAAACTTATAGCGTCTAAACTATTCAACCAAATATGAGGCCATCTCAAAAAATCATTAGCTCAGCTTAAAAGAATTTAAGCGAGGGAGAAAAAATCTGCCGATAGCCGATGGGTGTTACAATAAAACTAATGCATATTATCAGGTTCTCGCAATATCGATAAAATGTGGCGCTCCTAGAGTAAGCAATAAATGGGGTCTCTCTAAGTAATTCCATTAAATGACAATTCAAAATTCACATAATTTTACGTACAATACTGCATGCCGGCGGGTGAAAGTTTTATCAATGCATATAAAACTTTTTTTAAAATTTATAGCATAAAAGTTTTTTACAACAATTTCTTTAGTTCTAACTGACACTGGTAAAATCCAAGATCTATATCAACTTTACATGTTAAGTAAAATGTTATTATATAGATTATCTGTTCGAGCTAATTAAATTTGATTAGGTTGAAATGGTTGCAATTTTAAATGATTGCTAATAAAGATTTTAAAATTTTAGGTCCAGATATCAAGAATCTTTTTAACAGTAAGAATGAGAAGAAATGGCGCAATTTTTATATTATTCAAATTACAAAGATTTTTTAAAAATGTTATAAAAACGATATATTAATTAAAAACAATAAATCAAAATAATGAAGTAAATAAAAACACGATTTTTACAGCGTTAAGAAGTTCATTCACAAGAGATAATTCATTTAATATGAAAGGATAGGAAATGTGTCATACATACGGTCATACGACCGGCGACATTGATTCGTATTATGATATTTATATAACTCTTAACATATATCCGTAAACCAATTACCTGAACAGTGTTTAAATAAATGTATTTAAATAAATTCAATACTTGCAGTAGAAAATAAGGACCTCATAAAAAGAAAGATGGAAAATAGGTAAATTTAGATTTCTTTCTGTAGCTGGATTCAGGTATATTAATGTAACCTTATTTATTTAATAAATACATGTGAGAATAGTAATCAGACAGATAAATTGTTTGTACAAATAAGAATTTAGATACAAACAATATATGTGAAAAAAGTGTATTATATACCTATGGATTTTAACATCAAAAAGTTAAAAAGTAGCTTTGTGGAAGATGAGAGTTCAATAATGGTGTACAGCAGTTCTATTTCTATTTTTTTTTATTCTATTTTTATTCTATTTCAATTATGTTTCTATTCAATTTTTATTCGAAAAATATTCTCTTATATATTTTGACTCATAAAAATTAAAACTCTAAACATATTGGAAAATGTAAGATGCGATTACTGGAGACTAAACTACTTTAATTTGATATCTTGATGGACTCGACCAATTGAACAGTTTTTAATCGACATATTGCCAAACATGTGAATCTACCTACGAAAAGATGCATACATTTTTTTTTGTTTTTAAATAATTGTTCTTGACTGTCAAATAAAAGAAAGTTATAAATCAGTTTTTTGTATGATATGAGTAATACTGTATGTCAAGGCGCTTTCACGGACAAGACATACGTCTATTATTTTTCAAGCCACTCTGAGGACTCTGAGGAGGGTAGTTTTCAGATGAAACGCGTCAGTGGAAACTGACAGCGGACAGCGACTTTTGTTTCGTAAAGACACAAAATAGAAATTTCTTTTAAAAAACGGACGTTTAGTGACGGTTTTTATATAATTTTTATATAAATGTTATACATAATTGACATATAAATTTTAGTACGTTATATTTTAATTCATATATTTGTTTACTTTAGAAAGTTTAGAATAGAATATCACTCTTTGATAGCCATTAAGAAGATTTTGATTGAACTAATCTGTATTGGTTGGTACAAACAAAGTAGGGGCAGTGAAAGCGTCTTGATATACAGTATTACTTATATCACATAAAAAACTGAAATTCATTCCCACCTTAAGCCCCGTGTCAATGGCGCTTTACGCAGACGACACATGCTTGATCTACTCTGATCGGGATGCTATAAATGTAAGTAACACCTTACAGAGAAATATAGACCTCACGGTGAAATACTTCCAGAAATGGAAGATTAAAATAAACAATGATAAAATCAAGGCCATATTTATAACACGAAAGAGAAGGCAATATCCTCCAGAAGTGAGCGTCGGTGGCACAGAGATACAG